GACTGTATGCTGATGATACTGTGTTGTATATTTGACTGTATGCTGATAATACTGTGTATATTCATGGAAAACTGCATCATAGGTTTAAATTACAAGAAAAGGTTCAGGTTGTTGGTCTTATTTGATATATTCAGACAGGACAGGAATTGTCTTTATATTTAAGACAATTTAAATAAAATCTAGATCATTTCAAACACTTGGGTGCTACCCTTCATTAATCTTACTTTTAGAGACTATATTAAAAATTAAAAAAAGAGAGAAACTCATTGAAGTTTCATCTGTCAACATTTAGACACGAGAAACTCCCAGTATTCATGCACTGGGAGCGACTGAACGCAGAGGTTGTTTTACTGCATCTCAGTTTGGGATCAGGTAAAACCATCCTCAGAACACCCGATTCTTTAATTCAGGACTAAAAACATTCTGTTTCACCGTTGTCAGGAAACTCATTTAAATCTCTGAAAACTTAAACCTGGTATAAACTAACTCCCAACTTCTCCTCTAAAATTTAACACTTGGCTCTGACCTTGAACGTTTCCTTTTGTTACTAAAACTCTGTTTGGCGTCATAAAAGTGCATTTTTCTTCTCCACACCATATTTTCCTGTTTAATTTTCCAACTTCATGCCCAGAACACCATAAAGTTCTTGTTGCTGATAAAACAAATTTCAAATTTAATTCAATTCTGACCAACATTTCTCATCTCTCTCAGACCATCATGAGCTCAAAGACCGAAGGAGACTCCAGGATCCAGGAGCTCAGGAGTCGGGTGCAGAGTTTGTGTTCTCAGGATCTGGAAGAAGATAAGAAACGAGCGGTCCAACAGAAAGCCCGAGCAGCTGAGGAAGAGTGGAACAAGGTTCTGCAGAAACTTAGAGAAGCTGTGAGCGAAGCTGAGAGAGGTTCTGCTCTCCACGCTCAGCTGAGGAGCTTTGAGGCTCTGAGAGGAACCACCAGCAGCTGGTTGCAGGAGAAGCAGCTCCTCCTCGTTCCTCCAGACAGACGGACCGACTCTCAACAGGCCATAACATCAGCCCAGGTCAGTCTGAACCAGAACCTGAACTTGAACCTGACGGGTGCATCAAAGACCAGAGCCAGAACTTGACAGAGGTTGATGCGATTTGTTTTTGTAAAAGACGACTTTATTTATGTTAAAAGTTTTTTTATAACCAGTTTCTGGGAGTAAATGGACCTAAAGGTTCAACACTGGTTCATCCCTGAAATTTTGTGCTTTATTAAAATTCCTAAATAATAAAAAAAAAAGTTTAACGAACAAATAGAAAATATAAAAAGAGGTAAATTCTAAAGAAAACTCTGTCTACCTCCAAAATGATGGATCAGAAACACTTTTGAAATTCTAAAATAAAAATAGAATAAAATAAAATTATTTGTTTCAGTGGGGAAACTCCAGAATATCATCAGCAAATAGAAGTACCCAGAATAGATTAATTAAAAACATAACAATTAAAGATTAAAAATAAGAGTTTAAACTAAAAGCTATAAAGAAACCAGGGCTGACTCAAGACTTTTGCACAGTCCTAAATGGGTCCAAACACAAAAGTTCTTAATATTCATCTTTCCTAATACTAATGTCTACACTTCTGTTTGGGTTTCTATTTTACTCTCTGCCCTTTGAGAGATGGTTTGCAAAGATTTAAAGTTTTTATTTATTTGACTCCTGAAGGTCCTGATGCTGCTCAGTAATCCAGGTTGAGACATGGTCCTCTGGGCGGGGTCTTTGTTGATGATGATTGTCTCAACAAAGAAGACCTCGTCCAGAGGACCTGTCTCTGCCTTGTTAGAATTACCTTCTGAAGGTTTTTCTGTTTGAAGAAACAGTTTCTTTTTCTTCATTCAGGTTCTGAACATTCATGTAAAGATGTTTTTAACCCTCAGGACATCCTGAGCTGTAAACCTGAGGGAGACTCCAAACTGACCGAGCTGCGGAGACAGAGCAGACATCTGTCCCAGATGGAGGACGTGGAGGAGCACCTGAAGCTGGAGGTCCAGCAGAAAGTCCAGGACTCAGAGGATCTGTGGCAGACCGTCCTGCAGGCAGCTGAGGACGCTCTGAGGAAAGCTGAGGTCCAGTACTCGCTGTCCAGGGAGCTGGAGTCCTTCTGGGTCCACACAGGCAGCACTAAGAGTTGGGTGCAGAACCTGCAGGACCGAGCTGAGTCCATGACGGGAGGTAGTCAGGGCAGCAGGGCTCAGACTGAGGAGAGGCTGCTCACTGCACAGGTGAGCTGTAGGCTGCAGAAACATCAGATGGATGTTAAGGACAGTTTGACGTCTCTGACACAAGACGTTCAGATCGACGTGCTTCTGACCTCAGGCTCTGTGTTCAGGTCCTCCTGAGCTCCAAGGCGAACGGTGACGCTCGGTTCATGGAGCTGAAGAGCCGAGCTAAGAGTCTCTGCGAGGACACGGACCTGGAGAAGGACAAGAAAGAGGACATTCAGAGGACAATAGGAGACATGGTCACGCAGTGGGGGAAAGTTATCCAAGCTGCTGAGGAAACACAGAGGTACAGACTGAGTGTAGCTTATAAAATAATGTTTATTTTGTTTTTATTATTACTAGTTCTTTAAGCACATGTTCTTTAATACTAGTAAAATATGTGTATGTCTCTTAAAGGTGTAAAGTAACAATGAAGGGTTGATGTATGAGGGGCCGTTGAGGCCAACATTTATTCTACTAATTTCACACACGTTCTTTAGACAAGTGTACTTTAAACATGTGTGTTCTTTAAATGTAATTTTAAAACACAAGTTCTTTAATACTAGTAAAATACTTGTAGGTCTCATAAAGGTGTATAGTATTAACAATAAAGGTTGGGTGTATGGGGGGCCGTTTAGGTCAAAATGTATTTTGCCACTTTCACACACACACACACACTCTTTAAACGTGTACTTTAAACACATGTTCTTTAAACATGTGTTCTTTAAACACTTGTGTACATACACCCAGGCTGTCTTCTCACAGTCAGACAGTCGGATCAAAAACACTATGATTCACATTTCCTGTCAGAATACGAAGTGAACGACGAGAGCTGAATGTGATGAAGTTGAAATAAACTTGTTTTATAACTAAAAACTGGAGCTCAAAGTCCTCGTAGCTCAATGAGACTAGCCTGTACAAATGAAGGTTAAATTAATGAAAAGAAGCAGAACAATAGCTAAAAGGCAAAAGTAGCAAAACACTAGCAGCAGAATCAGCATTAGTAGTTAATATAAACCGTAGTTGAATTAGCAGTAGCCACTGTTGTAGTATTAATATCGGGAGTTTGAAATGGATTTAATCTCTAATCTCTGACTGGATTGACTCTAATTTGGGTTCTGATGTCTACCATCTGTTACCTGTTAGACTCTTACAGTCCGTTCTGGACCGTTTGGACTCCTTTGAGGACAAACGAGGTCAGGCTGAGGCCCAACTGGCTGAGCTCCACAAAAAGACATCCAGCCTACCACGTGTCTTCTCCTGGCCAGGCCTTGGAGAGCGAAGACAGGCCTTGGAACAGGCCCGGACTCTCCAAAAACAGATTCCAGCCATGGCCCCTGTTCTCTCAGATCTGCACACGGAGGTAAGAACTCCTCAGGTGGTGGTCAGAAGCAGAACTCAGAACCATCCGTCATGATTAAAACTTCCTTTATTTTAAGGCAAAGGAGATGTTTGAAATGACCGGAGACCACAGTTGGACAGATTTGTCCTCAGCAGCCAAAGAGGAGTCCATCTCTGCTCTGCTGGCAGAACTAACAGTGAGTTTATCAGTGGGTTCAAAGAAACTGTGAATAATTTGATTTACCTGTTCAGGTGGAGTTGTTGAATATTTTAGTTTGTAGCAGTTGCTCTTCGCTAACATTAACATTTTAATTAATATATATATTTTTTAATTCTCACATTCTTCTTCCTCAGATGTTTATTTTCTGAATGAGACAGAAGTAGAGTTCTTGTAGGTCTGTAGTAAAGTGGTTCTGGTTCTGGTTGGCAGGACTTAGTGAGAAACCTGGAGGACGGAGTTCTGTCGGAGCGACACTTCACTCTGCTGATGGACCAGCACGACGCCGCTCAGTACTGGCTGAGGGAGCATGTAACAGTCCTGGGACCACCTCCGGCCGACAGACACGGGCTTCATAATACCACCAACACCCTGAAGGTCCAAATCCATCCAAAACACAGTTCAAATCACTCTGATGAAAAACAAACCTTTCTACTGTACAAAAACAAGAGAAAAATCATCTTAAAGATAAAAAATATCATCATTAAGATAAAGACCTAGATGACATGCATGTCACCCACCAGCTTTCGATGCCAGAGTTTTCCACTAAGGCTACCCTGCAGAGGAAAGTGGTCCAAAACCAATGTTTGTGTCTGTATGTGACCCACGGCTGATTTATTTTTATGACAGTTTGAATGGGACAAATTAACATTTTTCAATACGCTGGTGAAGATTCTGTCATCCAGACCATGGTTCATTCATAAAAGTTCAAGACAAAAACAACTGGACTTTATTTGTAACAGAAGACGTTTCGCTTCTCATCCGAGGAGCTTTCTCAATTCAAAGAGCAGAGAGTGTGGAGTTCAAGTTACTTTATTATTATTATTATTATTATTATTATTATTATTATTATTATTATTATTATTATTATTATTATTATTATTAATATTTTTCAATCTGGCCCAGATCTTCATCTGTTCTCCTAAATCAGATCCATACCTGTTTTTCAACATGACCTCAGTCTCATTTCATCATTTATGGATGAAACTAGAAAAGTAGAGAACATTTTAACAAAGTTCACTTTGTCCTAATGATCTAACAGTCGTCCTCGTCCTCTGACTCCAGGCTCTGCTGCAGACACTGGACCGCGAGCACAAAGACTTGAAGGAGCTGGACTCTGCCAGAGACTCTTTGTTGAGCTTCTGTACCCCTGAAGGTCAGGAGGCTCTGATCCTGAAGGTCAGACTCCTTCATGACCTCTACAGCAGCTTGGAGCAGGAGGTGAGGGAGCACCTGAGGACATGTGAGGAGCAGTTAGAGGAGACGAGGCATCAGCTGACCCAGGTTTCGGAGGGTCTGAAGGAGGCAGCAGCAGCTCTGCAGTGGGAGCTCCGCTCTCTGGATCAGGCTCTGAGTTACAGCGAACCTCAGGACAACGTGGCCCAGCTGCAGCAGCACTGGAGCAGCCTGCAGGTGAGACAAACGCACCCTTACCTGGAACAGGTGAGAACACATTTCATGTAAAAACACCAAACCCTAAGGTTTAATAATTCCTTCAGGAACGGTTTTAAATGTTGGTCCTGGGAACAACAGTTAACTGTGTGCTGTTGGTCTTGTTTTCTGTTAGAACTGTGAGAAGTCCCTCGATGGTTTGGGTCAGAAAGTTTCTCACCTGCAGCAGGAAGTGACATCACTATCTTCCACCAATGAGCTGCCAGCAGACGTCATCAGTACGGTTGAATCTTTGTGCCAACAACAAGCCAGGTACTGAACACATTTAGGAATTCAATAAGTTGATGACGAAAGCAGCTGAAGGTTTGGTTCCACCTTCTACCTGCTCAACAGGATCATTTCTTCCACCTGCATCTCTAAAGCTTCTTTAAGATGTTTTGTGATGAATTCTCAGCTGATTTTCTCATGTTTCAGTTTCTTTTTATTCTTCTTTACATCAGCAGCCTGCCTCAGAGGCTTACCCTGACCCGACATCAGAGCTCTGACATTTTTATCTTTACCGAATAAACAATAAACCTGATTTCTGGACTAATGCAAGCAAACTGCATGCAGTTACCTCCTGCCACCATAGATTGTTTTACAGTCCGTTCAGAGAGGCTGGTGTCTTGGTAAAAGTAAAAAATATAATTTTGTTTATTCCATGATTTGTGAGAAGACAATCCAACTGCTTTAATTTAATTTTGTTGCAAAGCTTGAAGTCCAGGCTGAGTGAGCATCAGGAAACCTGCTGCAGGAACACAGCTGGGTTCCTGAAGGACTGTCTGTCTGCTCTGCAGCAATGGCACCACAGCAAACCACCAGACTCAACGTCCTCCATTCAGGTATTTATTCTAGTCTTTAGTGTCCTAAGCCCTTCACCAGCTCCGCCTGAATGTCTTGTTTCTTGTTGTCTGTAGGAGTCATTAGAAGAAGTAGAACATTTGCAGCACAGCCTGCAGGAGGCTTTATCCCACCACCAGTTTCTATCAGCCTGTTTGACTCCAGACCAGTTTAAAAAAATGCAGGAGGACAGTTCAGAGTCCCTCAAACAGGCAGACACACTGAGGTCTTCTCTGACTCACAGGCTGAAGGTATGAACATCAATTTAACTTTGTTTCACAGGATGTTGTAAGTAAACGTGCCTCTCATCCATGCTACTGTTTTGTAGTGAATCTTATTTATTTCTTCAAGGAACTGGAGAAGAATAAACCAGTGCTGGATGTTGTTCCTGAAGGCCTGCTGGAGACAAGCACCACTGTTGTGGCACCACCACGCAAAAGCAAGAAGAATAAACCTAATCAAAATATTTCTTCATTTGATAAATCTACACCTGTTCAGGATGAAGGATCGGTTCATGTGATGGCAGTCGGGGCAGTCAAGAGAAGTGAAGTTGTTGATGAGAAAACATCACTTGTTCCATCCAGGAAAAAGTCGAAAACATCAGTGGAGTCTGAAATGCTGCAAACTTTAACTGATGAACATGAAAAGGTTTCATTGTCTGCTGCTCGGTCAGTCACTGAACAAGGCAGGACCAGAACTGGACCTGCTATGGAAGAGAAGAGTCCAAATGGATCCTCACAGAAATCTGTTGAGAAATCCCAACGGGTTTCTGAGAACCTCTTGTCTTTGGTTTCCACTGATGCAGGAAACACAGACACCACGAATAAATCAACGATTGTTACAGACAAAACTGAAGCTTCAGTTTTAAAACCAGGTGAGGGTTTACCTCCCAGACGAAAGTCAAAAGGTTCAAAACTTCTGCCTGAAAATACGGAAAAAACAGCTGCACGGACCGAGGTAGAACCTGAACACCCAGCTACACAGAC